TGGCAGAGCGAAGTACGTGGCCGGTGATCTTCTCGTAGGTAAAGACGCCATTGGTGCACAGTTCGGCGACACAGGTCCTTTCGCCGTACAGTGCCCCCTTCAGCGAGGTCAGCGGATGACTCTTGCCCAGGGTGCGCTCGTCGTCGGCGCTGAGCATACAGCGATTGTTGAGGAAGCCAAAGGATCGGCAGTTGAAGGAGGTCTCTCGGTCACACTGCAGCTGACAGTCCTCTGCACTGCTGGCAAACTGCAACGAGTCCATTGAGTACACGTTGGTGTTGGCCTTGGTCGTGTAAACGCACGAGGCAGGACCTGGTACAGTTGGACAGGACAAAACAAAACATTTACCTCTACTTGATATATTCCCTGATTATTATCTAAAATGTGCAATGCTCTATTTTATTCTATTTAGTTGTCCGCGAGCTAATGCCGCAAAAATGACAAATGGGCAGATTTGCGCCAGACAATGGCCGCATTTTTTGTTTGCAATTTATGGATTGACCAAAAAATTGCTGGTGCATCAAATGGCGGGCAGGCCAGTCTGGTCAGCAAGTGGTACTACCATTCGCGGCACTGACAATGAGCCAGCGATGCAAAGCACCATCCTCAAAGTTATTGCTTCCGCTTTGTGTCTGCCTGGAATGTCTGCCTTTGTAAAAACGGTTTGCTTGTTTTGCAGCCTGACAAACGCACAGTTTCCGTGTTTAGCAGCAAAAAATGTTGACAATAAAAAACGAAAACAATGCAAAGTATAATGGCTGATAATGGCAACGTCTGCCAATGTCAGCATTAGCATGACAATTGTCAACAACTGACCATGCTCAATTCAGGCTCAATCTGCCCTGAAACGCATCTACACAATAGCTGGTTGTCATTGAAGCTAACTTGTGATTAAGCATTATACTAAATTGTTTTGGAAAAAATTGATACAAGCCATTTACATTTTTTAGTGGTTGTACAAATTGAATTTCGAAAAAGTATTAAGTAAAACTTACCCGAGGGTGCACACTGATTTTCAAGATAGTCTCGCTGGCTGTCATTTACATGCCTAAAGGCTTGAGGCTGAGTGCGTCGGTTCTCCTTTGAAAGTCGACAAATTCGATGCACTTCATCAAAGTCGGCGCTGCGGCAGATGAAGGCAGTTTCGGTGAGGCAGGCTTTGGCGCACTCTTCTCTGTCGATCATGTTGCTCAGTTCTTTGTCGACGAAACCGTCGAGGTAGGTGTTTTGCACTCGCTCAAACGCCCACAGACGCTCATTGCCGCACACGTGGTCAAACTCCTGTTTGGAGATGCCCTTTAGGCAGACCTTCTCAAAGAGATTGGCACTCTTGGACGGCTGCAGGTGATCTCGATGTCGCCTGGTANACAGACGCTCATTGCCGCACACGTGGTCAAACTCCTGTTTGGAGATGCCCTTTAAGCAGACCTTCTCAAAGAGATTGGCACTCTTGGACGGCTGCAGGTGATCTCGATGTCGCCTGGTACCTTCAGCAAAGGCCGAACACCGAAACGTTCGATAGTCGAGGCTGAAGGCGTTGCAGCGTTGCTGTTGTTTGCAAAGGTTGATGCAGTCCCGAGTGAGGGCGACATTGTCCTGCTGAAGGAGGACACCGACGGAGAGCACGGTGCCTGGGGCAAAGTCGGCAGTGGCCAGTCGTTCGTAGGTTTCAACGCCGCCGAAGCAGTTGTCGCTGGTGACTAGCGCCCTGGTGATGACCGAGAGCAGGACAGGCAACATGATGAGCAGGCGAGTGAGGTGAAGTGAGATGGAGAACTGCCGACGGTGAGAAGGTGGCCAGCTGAGACTGACAAACACCGGAGGTGATGACATCGGTGATGCTGCTGACGGAGATGGTGGCTTGCACTGTGCGGTGCACACGTGCCGCATGCCGCCGCCGGGAGATGATGCACTCGATGATGCGGCACGCTTCAAAAGGGGGAGGTTGAAGGTCACTGGGAATTGCAGGGGATAATTACTTGTTGGAACTACGCTAATCAAGGGGGATTAGCTGCCTTCCGTGGAAGCATGGGTGAATGTGTGTGTGTGTTTGTGTGTGTGCTTGGAATTGACGGTCAAAGTGAGAATGTGACGAGGATCTGGCACTGCAGCCAAGTGACAGTGGCCAACTGGCGAGTCTGCCTGTTGAGTCAGCCTAATGACAGCACCTGAAGAGTGCCGTGGTCATCTTCAGTGGTATCCCCTACTACTGTCCACCAGCACCACCACAACTACGACCACTACTGATGTTTAGCATTTGCATTTGAATCAACTGGAAAGAGGTGGAGTGACCACAATGAAGCACAGTTGCTTGTCGAATGGAAGAGAAGGAGCCAGTCTTTTCTATCCATCGGTCCAGCCATCCGTGCTCGGAATGCTTAATGCTCGGTGGTCTTTAGCTGCTGGCGCACTGGACATGTCCACTGTCCACAGTGAGCAGACACATTGTCTGCCGAGGTTGCAGCGTCTACGCGGCGCTGGCGGAAAGGTGTCACTCGACCGAGCAGCAGCAGCCTGCCTCAGCCGTTCTGATGCTAGCGCTGATCTACTAGCATCGTCAGGGCGCCACAATGGCCGCCAAATGAATAAAGCCAATTAATGCAACTGTCAGTGAGTGTGTGTGAGTGAGTGTGTGTGTCATCATTGCACAAGAGCACATCATTCAGTCTGTCGGCGGGAGCGTGTTGAGTAGATGTTGTCAAGTAAGCAAACTGAAACAAAACACGCGCCCAGCAAGGGACCGATTGCAGCGGCGGCGGCAGCGGCAGGCACCGACAGAGCGCTAATTGCCGCTAATAAGGCGCTCAGCTGCTGACAAGATTGAGGATGCCTGAAGTGTCGTGTTGATTAGTAGCTTTTTTCCCAGCTCTACTAAACGCCTCGATTCGCCATCGGTAATCAAGTTGACTAGTGCTTGTGTGAGCAAACCGACTAGAATTTGTTTCGATTAGTTTTTAAGTTTAAGCATCTCCTTCTGCGACAAAGAGGGAGCTAGTGGAAGATAAAGTCTAGTGGTCGTTCACCGGTTCGTTCGGTAGGAAGTAACAGTAAGCATCAGGGAAAAAGGCGTGTGCTTGTAGCGTGTGCACGAGGCGTAGCGGCAGTGTGGTGGCACACAAAACGGCAACATCACGGATGGATGCGTCAATTGACACTGCCAGCAGAGATGAGCTCTTTGCTTACCCGTAAAAATCACCAACGACAACAATGAGAATTAGCTTTAGTTGGTCATTGCCACTTCCCAGCTTGGATTACCCCGTGGTCACTTCCTCTTCTGGTGAGGATGCACTGGCTGAACTGTTTGAATTTGTCATTCTTCGATGACCTTTGTGTTTGCTTTTAGGGCAAATCTAAGGAAGGAATCTCTGTAAAAATAAAGAGCAAAATTATCAGTAGATAGCGATTGCATTCAAACTGTTGTTTTGTTCAAATCTTCAGCGGATACATAGATTGCCTGAGAGTGCTGACCAAGTGGGAGCCAATGGCGCCAGCATGTGGCATCTAAATAAGACAGCTTTTCTGCACTGGGACACTGTGAAAGTGAAAGTGAGGCCAGTGAGTAGCAGTCAATTGTGTTTTATCTGGCCGAGCAGTACAATCGCCTCTCTTCTGACATTGAGTGAGGACGTGTAACTCGCTTGACAAATTGGGCGCTTTGTAGTTTAGATCATTTCACTTAAGTGCTTAATTACTGCATCTGCCATGGTACAATGCCACTGATTTACAAGACCAGTTGGCGTTCTTTTCTTCCAGTTATGAAATGCAGTTTTCTTTAAACTTTTTTTGTTTGTCAACATTAAAAAACTGAACCATTTTTGTTTTTAAAATATTGCAGCAATCATTCATTAGCTAATGATTTTTGTCAATGAAGTGAGGTGAACACTAAAAACTAAAGATTTTTTAAATGTTGAGCGCATTTTGAAATAGTTGCCTGGTGGTCATTGATGTCGCCGTTTTGAAATGAACCATTTTCTTAAAACCCACGTTTTAAAATAAAAAAAGTTGTGTTTAAGGCAATAACCGCTTATGATTGATAAAAAATAACGATGTAGTTTCATTGATCGGCACAATGTTTTTACACAAAATCAATTTTAAATGTATAAATATCAATTTTAATTGATTTTTTTGTTGTTTTACAAATAAAATGAATAAAGTAAAAATAAATTCTGTACACACATTTTTGTGAAAACACTTGTCATTTATTTATTTATAAATACGTATAAATGATTGATGCTTTTGTAAGGCATAAATAAAAAGAAAGAATTGGGAAATGGTTTCTCTGACCACAAAAAAGTTTGGAATGAGTCAAGCAACGAAAGTAAACTATTCATTGGTCAGATCGAACTGAGAAGTAATCCTTTGAATTCTCCTAATGAAGCCACTACATAATTATTTCAGGCATTGGATTCATCAATGCATGTGCAAATACCAAATGGTGCATCAACTGAAACAGGTGAATAAATTATTAATGTCATCATGATTATTGTTTCACGTTGCTCCAATGTTTACTAATCCTGATTGATTGTTTGTGGAAATAAAGCTAATACTTTGATCCTATTCTGAACCAGTATGTCAATCATTTTGGTCTTTTCACAATAAAATATTTGTTTCAAAATGAGCAGTTGCCTGTGGTACTTTAACTTTTTATATTGACATTTCTTAAGGTATACTTTATTTAGGCAAGTCAACTTAGCAAATCAGTCGTTTGTCATTGATCTAGCATACAATGAACTTCAGAAATTATACATTTGCTTAATAAGAAGTATTAAGGCTTTTTTAAAGTCTTGTATAACTGTTGAAAGGTGTAGGGATACCTAACTTGTAATTGATCTAAAGAGCAATCACCTGGTGACAGTATCACATTTTGTTTGAGTAAGTAACTAAGAAACTCTAATCAGTAATCGGCTGTTTCAATTAGTAAAGAGAAATCACTAACAGCAAGTGTCGACAATACAAAATAGAAACGTATTGCAAGAGTTGTGAAAGTTCTGCTTCTAAAAATGTTACCGTGTTTTATTGTAGTTTTGTTGGGTTTCCTAAGTCAAGGAAGCGAAGCCCTGCCAGGTATTTACTCAATATGCATTATGCATCTAAAATGGATTTTTTATTGTTGCAGTTCACACTGAAGATGTTCCACTAGAAATTCAAGTACTGCAAAACTCAAAGCTTTTTGGTGGTGATATGGTTGGATATATTCCCAAGGTTTGTGAGTATAACGATCGAACATGAAAACTAACATTTCCATTTTTGTTAGCCTCACTTTTTCCGCAACGCACTGCCAAATGATTTGCAATTGTGGCCCAACGGTGTCATTCCTTTTGTAATTGACTCTTCACTTGGTAAAAAATTAGCAACATTCTAAGTTAATTTACTAACAAGCTGCTCGTTTTACAGCTCATCACCGAGAAATAATCTACAAAGCAATGAACAACTATTACGAAAACACTTGCATCAAGTTTATACCACGCACGACTGAGTACGATTATGTCAACATTACCAAAGATAGAGGGTAAATTAATTATTCCAGTTTGGTTTCAAATCTAATCAATTACACCTGCAGATGCTACTCCAACGTGGGTCGTGCAGGTGGCATGCAAATAGTCTCTCTGGGGGATGGTTGTCACTTTGTTGGCACTGCCGTTCATGTAAGTTTTGCTCGAATTTTAAAATACAGTGAATGAGAGGTTTAATCACTAGGAATTGGGCCATTCAGTCGGATTTTTTCACGAGCACCAGCGTGCCGATCGAGACACCTACCTGGAGGTACACCCAGAGAATATCAAGGCTGACTCAATGGACCAGTTTGACAAAATGAAACCAAATGAAGAGAGAATCTTCGTGTCGTACGACTACAACAGTGTCATGCACTACGGCTCAACTGCGTTCACCAAAAACGGCAAAGTGACAATGAATCCCATAAAGAGCAGTACTGCGCTGCTCGAAGTTTTCCAAAAGTACGGTCTCAGCAAGTCAGACATTTTGGCGGTGAAAAAGCTGTACAGGTGTTTGTAATTAACTTGATAAAAAGACTTTATTCTAGCTTACTGTGCGTATATTGTTGATCACCTGAATTCGTACGTTATCTTCAAGCCATTCAAAATAAAAGTAGAGCATGTAGTAAGTGTAAAAAATGATGAAGCCTCCTTGAAGAATCAGCTGTACCACAAAACAACCGTGGTTGAGTCCTTTGAAAAGCTGGCAGACCATCGAGACAAAGAGGAGAAT